ACTCTCAACTAGATTGAACGTTAAGCAGTTCAAAGACAACACAGCACTTGAAGTCTGTGCACAAGAAATGCAATCTACTTCTGACACTACAGTTAAGAAGCTTCAGTTTATAGCTAGGACTCTATTTAACAACATAAAGTCCAAGCCCGAAATCTTTCAACACCTATTTTTAAAGGGATAAATGAAAGATAATCCCGAAGCATATACACATATAATGTGACTATTAAATAAGTCAGGTGTATCACACGCACACGAGTGCACTCATGTCACTCATGCGAAAGAAGGACAGGAGTCTGGAAACACTACAGACTTAGAGACCACGCGAGTGGATTCTCAACACCCTACCTTTATTCTGGAGGAACAGAATGATAAAAACATTCTTGCTTGGCTGACGCAAAACCATAAGCTGAAGCACCAGAACGTAGTAGACGCACTTAAAGATGCTAAGCGAAATGGAATCGCGCACCCTAAGCTGGCAACTTTAGTTGACAGAGTATATCAGTCATGTACAGACTGTGATCTCAACCAAATTAAGCGCTATTGTTTCGCACCGCTTAAGAGTGTGACTGAAGATGTTCCATGGCGCAAGGTCATCATTGATCTGGTTGGCCTGCCTACGTCCGAACACACAGGCGACCATTACGTATGCCACTTCTTTGATGTGGCGTCACGGTTTAACTTGCTCTTCCATTAAAGGATAAAAATACGCAGACTGTGGCAGAATTATGTTGCCAAGTCTTTACTGACCACGGGTGGCCGAATATTATGTGCACTGATAACGGTAGTGAGTTCTGCGATGACGTTATGGAATCGCTAGTACTCGTATCAGGCATATGCCATACGAGAGGTGTGCCATATAAGCCGCAAACGCAAGGCTCGAATGAAACGCGCCATAGAAGACCTAAGTTCTTCTTGCGTACTGCATTAACGTATGATGCAGATGATTGGCCGTACCACCTTAAGTGGGTACAAACACAGATGAACGAGTGTGCTGATCCGGTTACAGGCACAACACCCGCTCGTTATTTTCGCGGCAGATATAGTGAGTTACAAATACCTTTTAACAAGGACGAACCCGATCACCATGAGGTACCATGGTTAGAGAAGGTACAACGCATACACAACGTTGTATATCCTTGCTTGCGAGAGGCACGTAATGTGGCCCTATTAAAAAGGCAAACCAGATGGAATGCTACCAAAAATATAGCAGAGTATCAGGTTGGAGACAGAGTTAACATCCGTCAAAGTAGTTCCGATGCTACTGTACTAACATTAAAATGGATAGGACCATATATAATCTCTGTAGCCGACACTAAAAGTGGAACCTATGAGGTTAAGGACCCCGACGGTTCTAGTGCTTTGAATATAGGCACTAGTCGAATTCCGACTACTGAGATTATTCTCGCAAGATGACATGATTCTGCTGCACCTCTTGACCGCTCCGAATTCAAAGATATTATATGGAGAACGGAAAATGGAGGATACACATACTATCGTACATACTTTATAGACGGTACAATCGCTGAGATAACTTCGACAATCAGGACTATTTAACGGTTTTTAACAGAATTTGGCGTAAATGCCTACATAAGTCACAGGCTGAAAAAGATAGCATGTTGCCAACGTCTGAAGGCACGGAAGTTAAAACTTGCCCGCCAACACCGTTTATTCTGGGCTTTACTGCTCATCCTTCGTATGTTTCAAAAACATTGAAGCGTAAGAAACGTCCAGTCGACCACCACGGACCTACTGGACCCAAACCCAAAACTCACAGGGTAACCGAAAACGCTTACCTTTTCCACCTGAGAAACATTAACAATACGTTATGCTACTTAATGTTTTCGACCCGTTTCCCTTTCTCGCTTTTTGACCCATAATCAGCTTGAGTGAGCAACTTGCTTCTCCTGGGTCTCAAAGCTGGGTGGGGGCTGTGTAAAAGCCAGGCCTCCACATTAGAATCTTGTAATATAAACGTACTCTTAATAGTACGTAAAACGTACTCTTAAAAGTATGTAAACTTATGTTTTCCTTAAATGGTTTTTATCGGTTTTTGTTAATTAAATACCTTTTCCATTTTACATATCAGATATTTGGACAAAGCCATTAAAAGGCCCCAGTAAAATACCAAACATAAGATTCGGTCTAGTTCTATTAATAGAACTATAGTTACTTTCCAAATCTATTTGTATCTGAATACTTCGGTAGCGAGATGGCTCAACCTAACATAGGTTTCTAAAGACTGCTAGCGTTGCTTAGTTTATCCTCCGTTCAGCCCACCAGATGTGCCAGTCTGATGAAGGCTAAGTCGGTAATTCTTGATAAGTGGCAAGTTATTGGATAATTCTATTTTCACGAGGCATACCTAACTTTACTAAAAGCCTCATTCCATTTATTTACTTCGAATTTAATTATACTTAGACTTAACCTAAGTGTGTAATTACTCTAAGGCGTTAATATCGCCATGATAGACCGAATCTTACACTGGCCGAAGAAAAGGAATTTCTAGAGAAGCTGATATATGAAGCCGATGAGTTTTTCTTCAAGAAGAACGGGCTCGCAGATGTAGCTTCTTCCTACCACCTATCTCCTCTGGGCCCCTCGGAGTGGTGGAGTTGGAACTGAACTCAATTTACGCCTGCGATATTGAACTACTGCAAAAAGACGTTCACTACTGCGAACATGACAGTACAAGAGCGCCATTGGAAGATGTATAAGGATCTATGCAGCAAACGTCGATCGCGCATGGGCGACGTGAATAAAAAACAGTATGAAATGGTCACTAGCAGTGGATATACCGGGCCGTTCAAACCAGAGCATGTTTTCTTACTGAAGTTAGGGCGAACTTATACCTTACTGATACGGATTCTTGGAGAGCTGCAGGTGACGGATCCTGGATAGATACGGACAAATTCAAGATTAGCGACAAGGATTACAATGATTTTGCTCGCTTCTACATCACTCATTTTAAGAATGTAGATGTCGACGATGATGTTTTTGTAGTGCATGGATACATTAAGACCTTCGAGGAGTTTATTGTGAAGAAATTAAAACCAACAAGGCCGATCTGACGCGCAAGTATCAAGGATTATTCTTGGAGACTAAGCCGGGTGTGAAGTATGTTATCGATTGCATAAGTTGGGAAAAGGGTGAGAAGTATATAGCGCGAATCAGTCCATTGGATATGAAAGGAAATTGTGTTGTAAGCGAGAACATCGATGACTTGAAGAAGATGAGACTCAATCACGTGCTGTGGAGATGCATCAAACGTGCGACGGATCACTGTATGAATCAGGTGAAAAATTTCAAAGCTAAAAGACTTGAGCCACAAAACAAAACAAAAGATCGCATAGCAGTTGAAATACTCGATAGCACAGATGAAAAAGTAGAATCTGACATAACTGAAGCAGAAGACGCCGAATCAGACACAGCGGAAGCAGCAGATGCAGCAGATACCGGATTAGACTCGGTAGAAGCAGTGGAACCACAGGACGATTACAGTGAAGTGGCAAAAGAACTAGACCTGGAGTTAGAAGCGACGGACATACCTGCGTCCAACATACCTGCTGCCAAGCCTGTCAATGACGATTCTGGCGAAGAACACGATGAGGATATATTGGAAGATGTGGTAGATCCGAAAAAGATGACTGTTGCTAAGAAGAAGGTGACCGTTGGGACAAAAGCACCTGCCAAGAAGACTGCCAGTACAAAAGCACCCGCCAAGAAGACATCTGTGACTAAGACTGTGGCTACAAAGACTGTGACTAGGACAAAGAAGAAGACTGCTATGAATGCAGTGGCGAAGAAGAAGCCCTCCGGCACGACTGTGCTGCCGACTGCGAAGAAGGCTACAGCTTCAAAGACGGCGTCACCTGTGATTGAAAAAGCCTTGACTACAACTCCGCCGGAAACATCACAATCTACTGAAGCAGTTGCAACAGAGCCCGCGATCACAATGGATACTACACCTGCACCATCAGGTACTGCGATAGAGGTACCACTTGCAAAGACAAACGCTGCGACAGAGGCTACACCTGTAGCCACTGACTCTTCCACAGATACGCAGAGGAGCAGCACACAGCAGCGATGACAAAGGACACACATACTGCAACAGCGAATGAGGTGAACATACCTGTGATAACTTCCGATCTACCAGCATCAGCTATATCTACTGCGCCGACTCCTGCAAGTTATAGCCATGCAGTTTGCCAGGGGCCAAACTATAACATGCCATAACCATATGTACCGTTCACACCATCCAGCTATGAATCCGGATACAGGTCGCAGCAAACCCGTATCAACGGGCTACCACCCCCGACTACCTCCAGATTTATAAGCTAACCGACTACGGTATCTGTGGTGACCACACCTTTAGACTCGATCTCCAGATACTTCCCACGAATCAAATTCATCGGCCCCAACAAATGCGAACAATGCCGCCGCCTCCGGACCAGCGCCTCCCCTCATATGGATATAACCGATATCGCCATCAATTGTATCACCTAATCACGCTGTTGAAGTACTACTTCCAAATTTCGGTTCCACCCAAATCATCGCGCTTGTTGGTCCCGCCTATGATACTTCCGATCCAGGCCAGCTAGCACATACCGAATGCATCCGTGGTCTGGTGCGGCATTGGCTCACCCCCATCCTCGCTCCTCAACCGAATTATGATGGATAACCTGGTCCTACTCGGTATTCCGTACTCTGCAATAATCCATTCCACGGCACTACACGGCGCAGACTCGATCCATACCACAGAGATGGGTACGCTACTTAGTAGGCCAGCAAGCAAATACATGGCATATTATGTAAGATTCGGTCTAATAAAGGCGATACTAATTGCCTTAGAACAAATGAACGCGTAGAGAGTTTTTTTTCTTCTTCTTTTTTTCTTCTAAAGATAGGATTTTTATGAGTCTCTCGGATTCGCCCTAGTGAAACATACCATAGTTTCTAATAGAGCGACAACGAAACACTAAATAAAATCCCTTCGGCGGAAACAGTACTGAGAGGATTATATATAGGCAATGTCTCAGCCTCACAATCCCTCAGAGTATTGCTGTCTTCACGAGGCAAACCCAACTTTATTAAACGTCTCATTTCGTTTATTTATATCGATATTTACACGATATTTAGAATTTACCTACGCGTTTATTTATTCTAAGGCATTAGTATCGCATTTATTAGACCGAATCTTACACGTTTAAAGTTAGCAAAAGTATTAATTACTTAGACTACTTAAGCGTAAAGGTAAGTTAACTACCACAAAAAAAAAATATTGTCTAAGCTAGTCGTTAAGAGACAAGCTAGTAGTCACAAGTTAAGATTATGACCAAGAAAGACAACAATCCTTCTAAGAAGCGTAGAGCTGAAAAGAAGAAGATGGAGAGAGAAGTCGCTAGCGCTGCCGCAGCTATTACTGCTGTAAAAGCAACCGACGCCGCTGCTGATGCATTTAAGCGCACTGTAGCCAAAGTACTTGCCTCTGACAATTATAGTCAAACGGACAATGCTTCAGATAAGAAAGTAGCCACTCCGCTTAAGGAGACTACTCCTGCTGACAGAGCCCGAGGGCCAACTATTTTCTCAACTTCAAAGCTTGCATTAACGAAGCCAAGAAGTGAGACAAGGGATACGTCTCAAGACGCCCCAACCCATTCTTCTGACGAAAATCAGAAAGGAAAGTCCCCAGTTATGAGGGCGTCCCCAATTATAGGGGACAAGGACAAATCTCAGAAGGAACCTATTATGGAACCAGAAGAGGAGGCAAGCTCAAGTAGCAAAACCGAATCTACGTCCGAGACTTCTAAGCCGAAGCACATAAGTAAGTTAATTGCTAAATACGCCGATCTTAAGAATCAGTTAGCTACTATTATGAAAAGCTTGACTGTCGAACATGTAGATCAATCAGATAGATCAGGAAAACATGCACAGCGCTTACGCGAGCATGTTTCCCCGTACATTACTGAAGCCCTACATAAGTGAACAGAACGTCGACAGGCAATTGCGCCCAAAGACTCAAGCTCGACACTCGAGTCATATGATCCAGAGGTGCACAGCGTCGATATAACGTACGAGGCATTACTGCCAGAAGAACAGGCTAATCACTCGCCTGTTCTGACACCCGGCCGTGAGTCACCTGTCCTCAAAGGTATTATAGACCGAGAGGTAAGGATATATACTCCGCCACTTGTACCCAATTGGGAGGATAATCGTCGGAAACCAGTTAAGACTGGGTATGTTATTCCGACGCCAAGGGATATTAATCATCCCCGCAGACGTGTGAACGATGTCGAGTTTAATCGCTTCGACCGCACGGCTTTACACCAACCCGCAGAGGAGTTCCACTCTGACGAGGTGACCGACCTTAATAAATCGGTCGACGACTATACCAATATAATGGAAGTCGGCCATGCTGCGCATCATGCTGATGACGTAGCATACTATGCGAATATTATTGCAATTAAGCAAAAGCGTATGGACCAATTACTTCAGGCCCAACGTGGACAAGACCATAGGGACAACCAGAAGTACAAGGGACAGATCAGTCGACTTAAGTCGAACTGGGATGCCAACAGCAAGCAGGTCGAGTTTATAAACAGCCATGATCTCGACACGCTAACTCGTACGCTTAATGCGTTTACGGTCATGCTGGAGACGAATGATATCGCTCCCCAGCAATGGATCTTTGCCTTAATGCAGACATTTGACCCTACAGGGATCAGTTATCTGATCCTGCAGCAACACCAGCATGAGCTAGACACTTGTCGTGACTGGCCAGCTGTGTGTTGGTTGGTCACATCCTTGTTAAGTAAGGATATGCGTAGCCCTGGGCTGAGTTCAATTTTAAATGAGCCAGCTGAGAACACGCCCATTCAGAGTTATATTCTGAAGCTAGACGCTGACCTGAAA